TGTAAGTACATTGCTTGATTTGAACTGAGGGTGTCATGACTGCAAGCTGGGAAAAAGAGCTAAACAAAGAATATCAAGTGTCCAAGCAATGTGCAAAACATATTGGACCGCATGTGGATATGCGTCTCTGTTGAGCGCCATAAGTCAATGAATAGTAAATCCATTAACTCAAGGATTGTTGCAAGCGCAAGCTGAGAGCATTCTTTTCGACCTACATAATATTTCGATTGTGAGAATTGAGTAAGAACTAACCACATAACAATCATCTAAACATACACCTGCCCTGCAAATTCTCATCAACACACCATGTATAATTATGACCACGTAATACTACGGGCTCAGAGCCTGGTCGTCATCTAGAATCCCGGTATAGTATGGGATCAGCAGTGATGGGTTACAGAGGCACTCCAGTCTCATTCTCCAGATCATGTTTCCGATGGCTAAACAAAGGTATGGTAGGTGTAACAGAAGACCTCTCCAACAAAAACAACTATGCACAAGTATTATTGAGTGGAGTGGGAAATATTTTTTGGAATTTCCCAAAGCGAGGAAGACCTGATGACATCACATGTGCTTAGCTTGCGAGCAAAGGTCGACCACATCATATACATGTTGAAGCATTTTTAATTGAAAAGGTAGGTGCTTGGTACATTGTGAACCCTTCAATGAACCCCGAAGTTCCTCCCGAGGAAACGAACTTGGCTAATATTTTGTGAGGATACAGATGCTAAACATTTGATAGAGGAACATGTTGAAACGGTGAGGTAATACTCATTTTTGACAATGGAGAGGGAAGAAGATGTTGCAGGAAGAGTGAAACTGCTGTGAGTATCAACATAAAGTTCAGTTATACTCCCATCGCCTGAGCATCCAGACTAAGCACCCAGACTAACCATCCAAACTGACCAGTCATACTAACCACCCAGACTGACCAGTCATACTGACCAGTCATACTCAGGGGCATCGGAAGCAGTTTAACATTGGTGCGGCCAAAGTATGTGTGTGTGGGGGGGGGGGGGCTGGGGGTGCGGGGTCCTCCCGCGGGGAAAATGTTTTGAAAATTGGGCCTAAAAGGCCATATTTTAATGCCACAGAGTTATATGAGAAATAAGAATATGCATGAATGATGACACACCGCATTACCGATGCAAAACATGGTAGCTGTACAAGAGCCGACAAGCCACCAACAAGATTTCTAGGGAATCACTACATCAAAAAGAGTAATGAAACACGTACTAATATATGGAAACAACAAACGAGGTATACAAGGTAAGAATTATAGCAATGAAGCGCGAATTGACGTTGCTGTTCTGAGCATTGACAAAATTTGCAAAGCAACACTAAAACACATCTCAAACTCTCCGAAAATGCCTCTGCGATACCCGCACTCTCCAACAAAGTCATTCGCAACTGTCTTCAAGTTCAAAGCATCGCAGTCTTCCTTTGCGAACATGATTAAGAGCACAGTGGTACGTTTTCAGCCGCCTTAGTGCCGAGAAGTTGTATTTCTCGCCGGCCGAGATAGGCGAGAAATGATTTCTGGGGAAATATTTTCATTTGCAAATATGGCATCTGGTGAGTTCTTTATTGTCGCTTCTTTTCCTGACTTCTTCAGTCAGTTTTCAGTCTCACCAGTGTCCCTGCCCTCTCACCCGGCATAATATCATTGCTCTTTTATAACTTTTGCCGTGAAGTGCTTGCCATGCCTACATGATGCCTAATCGCCATTGGGGATATACACCCTTTTTTCCCTCACAACTGCGTCTGTCGGCGCGAGGGTATTTCCCCGGCTGGCTCGGTCCAGAAAAATTGATTTGACGGTCCCAAGTGGTTCTGCATCATGGCCTCTTTCTGCTAACCACTGGCACGCCTATTCTATCTGAGACACTCTGTGCTCAGTTCTTGCTTCCATACCTCACTCGTTATCCGGTTCACATCTGGCTGCGGCCAACTACCCTTCACTTTGTGTAGTGTCGCTATTGCTGTCTTTGTCTCTAGGTGTGCCAGTATATGTGGAGCGACAAAGAGCGCTCACTGGTGGCATTAGTGGCTGGTGATATCAGCAGCAGCTGCAGCAGGACACACACTTCTGACAAGAATAACTGACGACTGAACAAAGACTGTAGGTAAGACACAACACTCAGCACGGTCTGTGCATCATCACCTTCAGCAACGCAATGCGCATGAAGAACTGGCAGCTGGTCATGAACGAGATCCGTCTGGATGTCATCCTTGTACAGTTAGGCAATGGCTGTTAGCTCTGTACTGTAGTCTCGCCCAGCACAGCCTTTGAGAAGAAGGTCTTCCAAATTCCGGTATTTGCAATAGCCTTCCTGGTCAAACCGCTGACGGATGGCTTGCACAACTGTGTCAACTGCAGCAAAGCACACAGGACGATTGTAGGCCTAGACTGTAGCAGGGAATGAGGGAGCACCAGTACCTTCTTGGAGCCTTGCTGTTACCTTCCTCTTTCTCGGTAGTTGAGATTCAAGCACGTCATTTGACTGCTGCAGCTCCATCACGCTCGACCAGAAAGCCTCAATACGGAGAAGCAGGAGAGTGTCAACAGTAGCTTTTGCAATAGCTTGGCCTTCACTTTGCAGACAAGGTGGTAGACTGCAATGACTTGCTGAGGTTATCAGCAAGAAATATAACTTTTGCGCCGAGAGAGACACCGAAGAGGAAGTCAAAATTCGCCAATTTACTCCTCACACCATTGCACTTTGCTGACATCTCCTTATCGTTCTTTGCAAGCTCGGTAAACAACTCCAGGCACTGTTGCAGGACGCTGAAGTTGGTCTACATGCTCCTCAGAGATGCAGCCCAAACTGTCCACCTGGTCGGACACCAGGTGCGGAATCCATGTTCTTCTGGTGCAAGCTCAGCTTTCAGGCGCTTGTATTCAGCAGTATGTTTCGCAGAATACTTATGGAGCTTGCGCTGAGCTCAAATGTGATGACCATCGCATCCCTGACATGCTTGACATCACGGATCATGTCCTGAAACGCGAGATTCAGGGCATGCCCATAGCAGTGAGTATATAAGAGCCCTGGGCTCCTCTGCCAAGATCTGGGGGGCAACTCCTGTTCGGCTACCGTTCATGGTAGAGGCACCATCATAACACTGGCCTCGACAACACTCCAGCTTGAGGTTCATCCTCAACAGGGCATCCTTGATAACGCTGAAAATAGTGTCAGCTTTAGCCAATGCGATAGCATAAAATCCTCAGAACTCCTGATAATAATGGAGCTCCGAATCTACCTATCGAATGACAATTACACACTGCTCCGTACAGCTGGAGTCAGTTGTTTCCTCCACCATGATGGCGAACTTACTTTCGCCGATACTGAGTGCACGTCCACAAAAGATCTGGAGTGCCATCACCTTCAACATTTCGTTCTGCATATCGGCACTCGTGTATTTTCCCTTCTTCTTCTCTAGCCACTTCTGTAGCGACGGTTGTAATTCGCTGAAGACGGTCAGGAGCTGGTGGAAATTGCTACCATGTACCATGTAAACGCCCGTCGCAAGAGAAGCACGCAAATCTGCAAATGCACTGGATGTGCACCCACAGATTTTCTCTTATAGCAACGATAGCGAACAAGATCTGAATGAGACAGATCAAGACTTACGCCAGATAACTGGTGGAAATTGCTATCTACTGGCACACTGCAATGACTTGCTGAGGTCTACTTCACTATCTACTTCACCTCCATCTTAAGATGCTCCTCGGAGATGCAGCCCTTGTTGAGCAAGAAACTTGATGTTTCGAAGAATGAGGAGGAAAGTCTCTCGATTCTCTTTACGGTCAGACAAAAACTGTGAGTTGAGAAGTTCACCAACGTGACCAGTTGTCTCAGGAGTTGTCTCCAACTTTTCAACAGCTTCCTTGTGACAGTCGCTGGACTGATATTTCGAGAATCCTCCCGGACCATACTTCCAGTTTTAAAAGCCAGTTGAAATAAACGAAGCGTCGGTCTTCGTATTGAAGAGGAGCTTTCCTCGAGCTGCCTTTACGCACGTGAAGCAAAATACTCGTTTACGCTTCATATCCCAATGCAACCAGGGATAATTGTCATACCAAGATGGCAAGAATGCACGGAACACAACTTGGCTAACCCCGAAGGCTCGCTTTGGCTAGTCATGTGCCCTGATTTAGAAAAATCTCCTATTTCGGGGTAACCATGGTAACCATCCATCTCTTCAAGTCAGAACAATAAACTGCCACCACGGTACATGATTACAGAGATTTGCCACCTCTGTCCATGCTCTGGTGCAAAGGTTCACGCAACGCACCGTGCATTTTTTATACATGCATGAGATACCCCATACCTTTTCAGGCCTAGAATTTCGATTTGGAAAATTATTGCTGCGGCTTTGGCCACACCAGCCGAACCGGTTTCGACGCCCCTGATGTTGACCACCCAGGCTAAGTACCCAGACTGACCACTCAGATTAACTCAGACTAAGCCAGACTAAGCACTCAAACTAAGCACCCAGACTCCGAAACCACGTGATATGAGTTTTTGCAATTGCATGACCCCATAGAAAGGGTATGAAGAGTTGCACACTCTTGGTAGCTTAGTTACCCTTGATCATACTATACACTCTAGTACTATGATCATACTGTACACTCTAGTACTATGATCATACTGTACACTCTAGTACTATGATCATACTGTACACTCTAGTACTATGATCATACTGTACACTCTAGTACTATGATCATACTGTACACTCTAGTACTATGATCATACTGTACACTCTAGTACTATGATCATACTGTACACTCTAGTACTATGATCATACTGTACACTCTAGTACTATGATCATACTGTACACTCTAGTACTATGATCATACTGTACACTCTAGTACTATGATCATACTGTACACTCTAGTACTATGTGAACAATGGAAGACTGCTATCTGTACTGAACTTCCAGTCAACATTGTGTAAATAAACAAAAGTGGAACCACAATAATCAATCATGAATCTTACATGCAGTCTCTTGTTGCTATAGTCAACCACCACAAGATCACCATCGTCATCCACAGCTACATCAGAGGGATACTTGAATTCAGCATTACCACTGCCCTTTGTGCCTATATCACGTATGTATGTACCATCCAGTGTGGTGACCTACAGGTACATACATGTACATCACAACACAATACACCAACAGAAAAGAACAGCAAGGACAAAACTTCATTTTAACATTTCAAACGTTTCCCAGTACAGAATGATACAGTATGTCTGCATCATACATAAGCTCAGTTACTCATGCAAGAATTGCACAAATTAGAAAAGAAGTGGAATTTGCACAGGGAAGCTTAGTTGCCGAGGCACACGGGTATTATAGGCACAGTGCTTGTGCTGTAATTATGTGTCATATTGCTGTCCCTGCACAGTTTACAAGTTGGACAGTTTCTACTTTTTAAATTTGAAATTGTGCTACAAAATGTGTAATGGAGTTGCCATGACAAATACTGGTATTAAAGAACTAAAGACTACAATATTAATGACGGGAAGTGCCAGCTTCGGCAACAACTAGAGGCAGAAGAAGAGACAGGTGCATGCACAGCGGAAACAGAGCAGTTACCATGCAGGCACATAGCACTTGCTCTGAGCAAAGCAAAGCTAAGGCGGCAGCGGATGAATGCCATGACAACCGAATATGGTTCGCTGCTTTCTCAGCAATGAGGGATGCAATACGCTTGTAAAGCGAGGCAGATTGCTTGGCCATGCCACCGGTTGTCGAGAAGACCGAAGTTGGCCAATTAGTACGCGCAATTTTATGATTTCAATTCAACAGATATGTCTTGAATTTCTCAAAACCTGTCTGGACATGAAGGAGCTGTCCTAAATTTTAGTTTCTTTCTTAATTTGCTGAAATTACGTTTTACTTTTCCCCGCCATCCCACCGTCTCTATTTTGTTTGTCTCGGCTCTTTCATTCATTTGCCACTTAGTTTTCTTCCCGAGTGGACGCGTGAATGCAAGCGGGCATCAGGATTGTTGTATGTGTGTGGTGCGACTCCTCATGCCAGGTAGTTATGTGAGCCCTAGGTGGGAGAATTCTTCGCCTCGTTGGTCGTGTATTTGCACACGCTGGGCGGTACGAGATTGGTGCTGGGGCCAGTATGTTTTAGCCCTTGGTGGGAAGGTTGTGGGTGTCAGCAGCTATTCCTTGGCTCTCAATAGTCCGTACAGGCAGTACACATCAGCCGTTGGTAGGCGGTACATGATCGTCTCCCAGCAAGCAGTATGCTTCAGCTCTTGGTGGGTGTGGGTGTTACACCGGGGGGGGGGGGGGGGGAGTATACTTCATCCCTCAATGGGATGTATGGGATAGCTTTTGGTGAGCTGGTTGCTTCAGCCCTCAATGGAATGTACTTCCTCCACGTCATTAAAATTGTTGCTTCCCAGAGCGATTTTTCAAATTTATTTTTTCCACTCAACGTGAAAAGAAATCAGCTAGAAAATGAGGCAGAGCATTGTCGACAGACCAAGCTTTAGTTTTGGCCTCCCGTCTTTGCTGCACTTACAGATGAGGTCGATATCTTCATCAGAGTTTGAGGCAGACCCTTCAGCACTCAGCGATACACTGAACAAGACACACGTTCAAATTCAGGTCATGAGACTTCGTTTTCAAACCATCCATGACTCCAGCTGGCAGTTGATGACGGCAAACTAGCATTTTTCAAGAACACTGTAACGACCTTCCAGCGGGATTGGGTAAGCAGTTCCGCACCTTCTTTTCTTGGCAAGTGCTTCGCTGATTTTGTTGGTGTTTTCAGATATGCTACCTTCACAGCAACACGCGGCACATTTTTTTAGGAAATTGAGAACAATTTGTTCTTGCCATCGTCAACTTCAGCATTTCGAATTCAGGACAGATACCATGATTCTTATACCCGAGCTTGCAGTCTTGATAAATGCCCACGCAAACTATGTGGAAGGGCAAGAACTCCAGAAAAAAGATACGTGCTCTGGAGCAGAATAGTGCGGAGCGCAATGAATATATTTAGTGCTGAAGAGAGCTCTGACAAAGTCCGAGACCACCATGGCTTCAATGACAAGTAGACATTGCTCAGGAAGGGTGGCTCCAATGTTCGAACACAGAAAACATCGATTCCGAAAGTTCGACTAAGACGAGCAAGCCACAAACATTGTGATGTGCGAAGCGACAATTTTAATGACGCGGAGGAAGTATGTGTTAGCCTCCGGTGAGCAGGTTGCTTTAGCCCTCAATGGGGTGTACATGTGAGCTCCCGTAGGCAGTTTACTTCAGGCCTCGGTGGGGTGTATGTGTTAACTCCTGGTGGGCAGTTTGCTTTAGCCCTCGGTGGGGTGAATGTTTTAGCTCAAGGTGGGCAGTTTGCTTCAGCCCTCGGTGGGGTGATTTTTTTAGCTCAAGGTGGGCAGTTTACTTCAGCCCTCGGTGATGTGAAGGTTTTAGCTCAAGGTGGGCAGTTTTCTTCAGCCCTCGGTGGGGTGAATGTTTTAGCTCAAGGTGAGCAGTTTACTTCAGCCCTCGGTGATGTGAATGTTTTAGCTCAAGGTAGGCAGTTTTCTTCAGTCCTCGGTGGGGTATAATAATGTATTAGTATCCGGTGAGCAGGTGGCTTTAGCTGTCGGTGGGCAGGTTGTTGGCCTCAAAGGCCATCCATGCACCCTTGGTGGGCAGGTTGCTGGCAGCGCCGGCCATTTGTGCACCCTAGGTGGGCAGTATGCTAGCAGCCTGGTGCTCACAGGATCATTTAGTTCTTGGTGGGCTGCCTGTCGGCCTATATGGCCGCTCGTGTGATTGGACCATGGTGGACAGCTGTGGGCTAGCCCTTTGGGGCCATTTGTGTGTCGGCTCTCGGTGGGCGGTGGGAATCACTGAAGATCAAAATATGTGATGATATCATGGTGCAACAGTTATCGATTGCTTCCTTAGAGCCAGTCTATAATCAAAATTAATACTATTATGTCCAAAACATTAAACTGCTAACTGCTTTTCCGTTCACAACTTCCCTCGAACTTGGAAACTGCACTGAGCATATTCTTCTAACATCCATATCCAAAAGGAAATGATTGTAACCCCCAACACAACATATCAATTGCTTGTGAGTGCATGTGCGTTGGAAAAATTTGGTATGCCCAGGTGTGCGCGGGGGAGCGTGTGTATATCGCCAGTCGAATAGGTGTGTCCTGCATTAGAAGATATAACACATCCAGCATACTAGCTTACTTCCCCATGTATCGGGGCAAGATCACATCGTCCGGTAGGTTCTTCGCACCGGAGTGAGCTACCAAGATGCCCTTCTAAAGAAACGTGACAAAGACTCGGCAGTCAAGTTTCTTCTCCGTGACATTTGGGTGGCTGAATAGTAAAGTTGTGTTTGGCAGAGACAAATGTTCATTCCTACCGTTTCAACTGTATTTTAATTTCTCTTCGTTCTCATAAAGGTCTCCTGTCTGCCAATGAGGAGTAGTTGCATCGCTGGGAATGATTTGCTACAGTCCGACTTTACATAATCTACAACTACTTCATTAGTGCAGTGAACGAGGATGCACTGTACATAGCTTTGCCTCATCATCGTACCAGGTGGTGCAAACAATTGGCAAGGCATAAGGCACATGCCACATGATGTCTCTCTTTCTACTTCTTCACTTGTCCAGGTGCCATTGATACACCAGGCAGACATTCCTGTAGACTTCCCAGACACGAGAACCACTTGCATCCAAATATTATTATAGTTGTAGATTCGGCAATGGAGGCCAGTCGGAATGCAGGAAAAATGATTTACCAATCCAGTGTTGCAGTAGATGCTGCCACAACCTGATATCTTCCATAGCATCAGAGTTAAGAGCTACAGTACAACCTGTGTTTGCCCAACCTTGTCCGAAGCAGAATCTTGTATTGACCGGATGTTTCTGCACCAAAGTACTGTGGATCAAACATGCATCCTTGGACCAAGCGGAATTCTGATATATCATGACGGTTTTCGCTGCAGCAAGGGTGTCCGGTTAGGTCCGGTTTTACTGTATCTTGTTGAGAGGCTTTTGATACCTGCTGCAACAAGACCAGAGACATTGTGGAAACTTACGGCCCGGCACAACCCAACGTGCTGCAGAGGAGAGCTTCACCATAAGGGACTCGAGGCTGTGCTGAGAAAAAGAGTCGCACTGGATGGTGGAAGTAATGTTGATATCCGAAGTAAGTCAGTGTGCTGAATGGTACCATATACCAGCCATACTATGATAAGCATACCGTCATTGAAACTATTCCCAAGTGGCCTGGACGTGAGGTGAATCACGTGCATCTTTCCATTTTTCTTTGGCACTGCACCAATGCCTGAACATTACATTGCGTAAAAATAATAGGGGTGAAGTAAGGAAGACTTAGTCTCCCCTGTGATTAAATGAGGTAGTGAAATGGTCAGATATAGCTAAGCGTGTGTGGCAGCAGAAGAGAGATTCAGAGAAGTGACATTTGCTGGAAAGGTAAAATTAATTAGAAGCTGACAATAAACCCATGATTCAAGCCATGCAGAATAATTCACGAAAATATGAGTCTAATTCGATACATAGGAAGGACAAAAAACGGGCAACATTCAAAGGTGAGCGAAAAGTGGAAGTGTGCAAGGTTATTTCTGAGGGTAAACAAAGGAGTTAGTGATCTTACTGGGAAGTGTTAAAGGCTTTTGTACCAGTCTTGGAGCACAGTTATCGAGAGTGGTTATAGTGGAAGCGGCAGGACTTATACTGGGGCCAAAGTTGTAGTTCTGGCAGATAATTTGGGCGCAATCCGAGTGTGTGAGCATGACTCCATACTAATACTGGTAAGGGCGTTGGCTGGGAGAAAAAGGACGCTGACCTGAAGGAGGGTGTATAGTATGAACTACTGGACATGCTGGACTAGCTATCAACTACTGGACATGTTGGTCTAGCTTTGAACTACTGGACATGTTAGACTAGCTTTGAACTACTGGACATGTTGGTCTATCTATGAACTACTGGACATGTTGGTCTAGCTTTGAACTACTGGACATGCTGGTCTAGCTATGAACTACTGGACATGTTGGTCTAGCTTTGAACTACTGGACATGTTGGTCTAGCTTTGAACTACTGGACATGTTGGTCTAGCTTTGA